TGTCGGCTTATTGAATATGCACTGAACTTCCCATCAGTATTCCCATGGAAAATCACACCAATGATGACTACTAAACGGACGTGTGCGGCTAATAATTGAAAGGACAGAACTACAAGCCTTAAGGACAAGCCTTAAGGCATATTGAACAGACAATAGATTATATGAATGTAAAGGTCATTTATCCTCACTAAGGGAAAATGGCAGAAGATTCTGAACGCATAGATTGTACAGCAAGGGACCCTGAAGGGTTGGATTGTTGGGAAAATATAAGAAAATGGTCAGGTCCCCTCAGATGCTCAGAATCTTACCAAACATCTGATGTGAATATGCACGTGCGCCCAGGTTTTCCTTGTTATTATCTAAGGTGATTGCACGTGTGTACCCAGGTGTTTTGGGTTATGACTTAAGTATAAAGGACTAATGGCTCTGATACTGGTGCTTTTCCAGATGCTCCAGGAAGTCACTGGGGCAGCTCATTCTAGCTCTGAATAAAGCCTATTATTTCTTCACCCACGGCTCCCAGGACCTTTTCTTATTACCTAGCTCATAGACCCTCTTGTGGAGGGTTTGTGACCCAGTCTGTACAACGGGCTTGAGGGGTCTGTGAGCCCTAGCTCCACTTTAAATCCAAAGGTGAAGATTTACCCCTATGTTTTCACAAAAGAGTATTATAGTTTTAGCTGTTAAATTTAGGCCTTTGGTCCATTTTGAATTAATTTATCTATATGGTGGGAAGCAGAGGTCCAATCTCATTCTCTTAAATGTGTATATCCAGTTTTCCCAGCATCATTTGTTTGAGACTATTCCCATTGAATGTTTTTCACCCCCCTGTAGAAAATGAATTGACGGTAGATGTATGGGCTTATTTTTGATTCTCAGTTCTATCCCATTCATCTACATTTCCATCCTTATGCCAGACCAGTTTTTATTACTCTAGGTTTGCAGTAAGTTTTGAATTCAGAATTCAGAATCCTCTATGTTCTTCTTTTAAAAGATCGTTTTTGTTATTTGAGGTCCTTATCAATTCAATATGATCTTAGATCAACTTTACTATTTGTGCAAAAAAGGCTGTTAGGATTTTGATAGGGATTCCATTGATCTTGATACCACTTTAGAGAGTTCTGCCATCTTAGCAATACTAAGTCTTCCAATCCAAGACATGGGGTGTCTTGGCATTTATTTAGGCTTTCTTTAATTTCTTTCAGCAATGTGTTGTAGTTTTTTGTATTTCCATTCCTTTGGTCAAGGATACAATACATTATTAAGTATAACTCATCTTATAACTGCAAGTTTGTACTCTTTGACCAACACCTCATTTCTCCCACCACCACCCACTGTAACCACCCCTCTACAATTACCATGAGTTCGACTTTTTTAGATTGTACATATCAGTGAGAACACGCAGTATTTGTCTTTCCGTGTCTGGCTTATTTCGCTTGGCATAATGTCTTCCAGGTTCCCGGATCCAACCACCGCAACAAGCAATCCCCACGGAGACCCCAGTTCCCCGGTCGCTGACAAGACTTCAGTCTCACTGACAAGACTTGAGTCCAACAGGCTCCCCAAAATAGCTCTGACTTAAATCGTTTCCACTTGTTAATCACCTTAGTTGCCAATATAAATGAACCACAACTTTAAGGTTTTACCCTAAATTTGAAAAAGTTAAAATAGGTAAGAAACAACGCTGCACCACAGGACAGGAAACAGACACAAATATGAGTATCACTAAATCAGGAAAACAAAGACTCGCTGGGTGAGAGGCGGAGTCACGCGCAGGACCACCCGGACCCCACTCCTGCGTCCTG